CTTTACGAGGTGGAAGAGGTATCTGTTGGTTCATCAGTAATAGTCGAGATAGACGTGTTTTCTTGCTTCTTATTGGCTGCCTTGCTGTCGTATTTATCTAACCTCTGGCAAAGAGCAGTTTATGCAGCAAATGTTGTATGTAGTGGGTCCCTTTTAGAAAGTTCCCGTATATTTGTGGCACTTCTGGCATCTACTGCTTGCAAACCCTAACTACGGATACATAGGATGTCGATTTAATCATCTCCGCTATCCCTCTCCCCTCCATAGAAACCACTTAACTTGTTCGATCCAACAAGCTATGAAAACTGCATGCTACTCGACTTATAGAATACAGAATATCAGACCAAACATTGCAGAAAAAATTTGGCGTACTATCCATCAAAGGGTTACCTCTAAGAGAAAATTAGAGAGCGGTCACAAACTGATTCATAATTTGTTTATTATTTTGTTTTTCTGTGCAGATTCATTAGATCCGCAACTCATACTCTTACACTTTAAGTGTGTGGTGGACAAGGAGTCCTCCTTGTAATTGCACCGTACAGTTATAAGTCGCTTCTCCATTTTCATCGAAAGTGGTCATTGCCTTAAGGCAAAAAGGGAGCTAACGCCTGAAGACATCTGACTTCACCATATTCTGCTCAACCCCTGACCGCACGCTTGAAAAAGTATCTGATAAAAGTGATGGTGTTTATAGAGCTCTCAGACATGAAATTGGATCGACTGATGATCTATTCTATTAACCCGGGATGTTGCGTGCGCCGAAAAGGCCATATTATTTTATGCGCCAATAAGATCCCGTGAAGCAAGAATATTATTGCCTGTATGATTAACAGAATTCCATATTTGCTGACGCTGGGGATCAGTTTTCTCATATCCTTAGTCTGGCAAAGTATGCTGCATCGAACATCACCCAACACGCATATGGTGTTGCACTTGATGTCAGCCACAATGTCGAAGACACAATTCAGGGACGCTTTTCAGTAGGAAGAAATTGCTGACATTCATTTTTTCATTTTTAGGTTTCTGAGAGCCTCTAATTCATATTTTCTGGATAAATAAATTGCACCGCGTAGCATTAACAACGATGTTGTCTGATGGTGACTTGAGCACCTGATACTTTCTGCTGTGCCTAACACAGATTCCAGGGGGGCAAATCATTTGACAGGTGTAATGAACAAAGTCTCAAAATAGCTTCATTGTTAGAGGCCTGTCTGTTGTATGCAACGTCTGTCCTGACCCCAGTTTGGCGCAATTTCCGGCTTGTTTAGTATTGCCATTGACGCAGCACAACGGGCGCGAACGATGATCGTCCTCTGTTTCCCTTTTCACTGACAACCTTGATGAAATTAGACACCGACTTCGTGACTTCTGGTCATTCTACTGTTCTGAAGATTCAGCTTCTTAGACTATAATTTTTTCGTGGCAACCTTGTAGATGTCGCTCTTGGCTACCAGCTGGGAATCCAGGTAGTCATGCCGCTTCTTGTGGCAATTTTCTCCAAAAAGGCTTGAGATTCCCAAGTTAAAAAAGTAATCAGGTCGTCTACTGTCGGGATGCTTCAGTATCGACACATAGAGTCTAGAAGGTTGAAAGCGAAATAGCACACAGAAAACAAGGTTATGGTAATAGAAGGGTTAGGTTGAGTCTCCAGAATAGGCTAAATCTTTCCCGTACTCAGTGTAAAACACTGCAATCACTGTTTTTGTGGAGTTTATGCTAAACACAGTCTGCTCCCTGACAGAACTTAAGTGTTAACTTGTCGGGTAAGGATAGTACTAAAAATAACTTGTAAATTGTGTAACTCTTCTTATGCCGAGTTCAACGGCCCGGCCCATGCGACGACCGACACTGTTCTTTGAACGTAACGCAGGAATCGCGAGTCTTTTATGACATGAGACTGTAAAAAGTCCCATTGTGCTGTTTCGAGGGTAGGATTAGTAGATGTACGCTTCTCTGACGTCTATTTCGCACAGGAGTGACGTTACTCGACCTGTCACGAGTGCAGGCCTCAACATGAACGATTCCATTTCCATCTGGGACTCTGACCTGTAACACACGCAGTCAGTCGTATGACGGCGGGGATTTTAGCGCGGCCATCTCAGTCTGGGGTTGGAATACAGCTGTCTCATAAAAAAAATACAAGTTCAAATGTGTCAATCAAGTTTCATTTACCCCTGGTGATGATATCTTTCAAGTAGTTAACTGTTCCACGCACCACGATCAGTGCGGCCGCTGGGATGGCTACCCCCAGGTACAGAGGACAACCGTCTGAATACTGAAAGAGTGACCAACGATTTTTTTATTTTAGCTACGTGACGCACGATGCCAAGCACTTTATCTACTTCTACATCGGGACCGTCGCCATACTTCTGTTCAGGGCTGGCTAGTTCGTCTGAAACCGCGAAGCATTACTTATCTACTTGCATGTAACCGAGAGTGTCATATAATAAAGTCATTGGCTAATATGCCTTCCTCATTTGCGTGGGCGTTCAGCGCTGATCAAAACGCCAGTCGCCGCGAAGAATGCCTTTGATCGCTGTTTTTCAAAAAAAATCCTAGTAAGGCTGGTAGAATACGGGAATATGGACGGCCGTATTACAGGCGACTTTGCGCCAAATCCTAGGGAGCAAAAGTTAGTGTTAAGATTCGAGTTGTTGTTGGTATTCGGGTTAGAGTTGGGGTTAAAACTTTAGTTATGGGAGGGGTGTTACGGAAAATGCTAGGGCTACATTTTAGGCACGGGAATACGTACCCCCTGGAATTCAGCACAGGGGATGCTTACTCTCGTCTCTACTCGCTAGTGTGGTACAAGGGAAGGCTCAAAGTTCCACCGGAATAGCATACATCTTTTCATCTTGTTTTAACAAGCTTTTGGATTTCGTGGTTTCTGGATTTGGCTGTCAAGGCCATCAAGACGCGCGTTAAAACAGCGAATTTGCCTTACTGACTTTTGCTATGCAACCTGTAATCCGATTTTTTGGCGCTAAGAACGTATGATCGACATTTCTCAATACGTAATGCACCGCCTGACCTCATGACACGCTGTTTATTTGCATACTCTGAGAAACAGAGACCCGTGATGGGGCAGGCTAGAGTAGGATGACATACATCTCGCGTTTTTATCTTCATAATAAACATTAACTTAAAATATTTTTAATGTTTCAACATAGACGCCATTCACAACAAACTCTGTGGTAGCGAAGATAAGAGACTGGGTTTCGACATCCGGTGGTGAACTCAAATTAGCGCAGCTCGGAATTAGTTCAAAACATGTGGTTAAGTTCCGTTGATGATAAGCTGTAGGAGATTTAGCATACTTAATCGAAAAGTGATTCAGGAACGGAAATGTCCCCTGCCCAGGAGATCTAAGGACTCAGTCGTGTGGACTGCTTTTGCCGGAGGACAGTTTTGACGTATTCTGTCACGTGGGCGCGACATTCACGAACTTGCACGATTTCCGATTCAGTTTTACCACTGCCTTTTGGCCTTTAGTCCTCACAGATATTAGAGCGTGGGGTTGGGGTATGGCTCGTCAATAAGGGAAATGGGGTCATAGGTGTACATGGCATGTATCCTTGACTCTTAAATGACAATACTTATAAATTTTCAAGTCGCAGATTGCGACATACGTACGCAGTGGATAAAATTTAATAAAATATTTCATTTTCCATCATCAGTACAAGGCTTTCCAAAAACGTCTTCAACTTCCGGAATACTGTAGGCTGTGTGGTTTAATGAACAAGGCGATAGTAGGCCAGAACAGTCTGAATTTATCGGGGATGCCGCAATCTTCGTACAGATATTGAGATCGGTAAACCAAGGGCAGTCAATGCTCTGGAGTGGATTCAGAAAACACTTTGACCAGTTATAAAAATGACGATGTCAAAGGTGTGGTATATAACCCCCATGGTGATACTGTAGTTAGCTACGACCCTAAACCCAACCGTGGCTATGCCTGTAATGGGTGACCCTAACCCTTAGCCCGTACGCCATTAAAGAAGACTCAAAGGTAACCGTAACGTAAACCCAGGCCTTGATACCCTAATCTAAATTTCAACCACACTTCTAAAATCCTAACCATAAGACAAAAACCCCAATCCTGACCTCAACCCCAAATGCAAGCCTGACAACCCCGGTTCCAAGAATAACCCAACTCCTAACACTAACCCTAAACTTGAGTCCGATGTGGCCAACTTTAAAGTCAATAATGCTAGTGTATTGCACAACCCCTTTCGCGGTCGATTGCCAGGCAAACCGTCATGAACCACATGTGCATAAATAAGGAGGTAGATTTTAAAACAACTACCCAGGAAGGACACATACCCTACATTCTCAAAGGCAAACTCCATTGAGCGGAGAGCGTACTGTGGCAGTCCCTGATTTGCTCGGCGACCCCAAAACCCTAAAATCCTCTTGAGCCTTCGTACAAGATCAATTCAAGTGAAGTTGCATTTTATTAGTCCTCAGACCAACAGCGACGCAATCCTACCAAGTATCCAATCTTTCCGCCAAGATGAGGCCCACAACTACCATGTGGCAGTGATTACTCACGATCCGGCTCAGTTGCACTGGGGTAGCTAGGCGTGGAGGGAAGCCGTTGGTAGCATACTGATGCGGCAGCCCTCCCGACGGATAGTCAGACCAATCTGTACAATAGTCGCCTGATGTTTCAGATCCCCATCGAACCCATCATCAGACTGCGATTAGAAAGAAGTAACGAACGCATGGTAAATAAGCCGGTGGTCGACCTTCTGATCCTCAATTCTACCTAATAGCTTCTCAGAATAAAACGGCATTTCAGTCTTTCTTCTAATACCTGCTAACATTCTGATTAAGTCACAAACCGTGCCTATCAGGAACAGAAAGTAGTCAGCGATTAGGGTCTGCAAGGTCTAAAAAAATTGACGAATTAAAGTAAAATAGCGGCTGAGTGAAAAAGAAGTGTCTCTTCAATAAAAGTAACAAAAAGACATGGAATGATACGAAGTTGCACAGGGTGACTAAAAGTGTCGATCAAACACGCCTGGTAGCAAGGGGTTCTGATGCATGCCATCGGGCAGAAGACAACTGAGGAATTGGTAAGTCATCCAGGCCGTGAGGCCCCGGATACGCGGCCAGTCGGATTTGCCCGGTGGACCGCCAAACACGGGCACTGCAAAGCGCATGCTGTCTGGAGAAGGCCGTGGGCGTGCTTTATAGGGACGCGATCGCAGAGTGGAGATGCCGGTGAATGGGACGGCTCGATGCTCACAGACGAAGGCGTGGTGGAAGTTGCGCTTGTCGCACAGCCAATCAATGGATCGAAAGATGAGGCTCTCAACTTCTGATTCGTTGACTGCCAGTTTGATGGCACCACTACAGGAGTGGTCAGAGCCAGGACGGTTAGAAAGGGTGTCGGTTTGCGAGTTGTAGTAGCCGCAGAAACCGACTACGGGGTTGATGAAACTAGAGGTGGACTACAAGGTAAAAGTAACCCCCGCATAAACGTAGGTTATTTGAATCAAAGAATGGAATGGAACGTTCGCCTCGGTTTTACGTAACGTAAAATAAATGCCTACTTGTTTATTTAAGGAAACATAATTTAATACTTCAGAGCACGTGGTTCCACCTAGTGTTCTGTTGGTCACTGACAGCGCACTAACGGACCAGCCCGCAGTCTTAATAGGTCAAAGTCGAAGTCATACGCATCTTTCTTGTACTAATAAAGATGCAGTTGCAAAGGACTACACGTTCAGTCTCAAATAGGCAAGAAGCATTTGAAGGGCGTTTAAGATGCAAATCCGCAAAAACAAGGGTGACAACTCGGGATACACGGTCCTATCAATCGCTCTGACCACGGTTGAAGGCAAAAATCGTGGTCTAGGAGGCAGGCAAGTCCGTAGAAATATCCGATCTGGGTGTATGATCTGTCCGACGTTCGAACGAGGATACGATCAAGACACTCCTTGCGTATGAATGCGAAACATGGCGAGTGCATCCAAAAAATATTTTATCCCAGAACTATTCTGGTCGAGATTTAAATTAGCGGATGGGTCGCTCATCAGCCTGAAATGGTTGGGCGCGTGATGTGTCGACTTGCAGGCAAACTCATTCGTCCGAACAATGCCCTGGTTGCCAACTGCATCGAGGTAGTCAAACAAAAATTCCGCGGACGAGATGAGGGCTCGCCTAAAGCGCGTCTCTGATCCTGAGGTCTTCGGGGCTGGCATACCAACTTCCTTAACTTCGTTCAAGAGTCAGCTGCCGAGTGAAAGAAGCGGAAACCGATTATTTGTGACGAAGTTAACACGTCGGTCGATTCAGTCATCGCAAAAGCCGCCGCAGGTAAATATTGAATTTCAGCAATAAAAAGAAATCAGAGCAGTGCTTAAGTTCCGCGTCAAAGATGTGGTTATAACGGCTGCTGAACCAATAAAATAATTAAATTGTCGAGGAAAAAAAGGAATTACGGGCAAACGGAAAAAAAGTAAGCAGACGCACCTTCGTCGGACAGGGGCAGAACGTCGTCCATACATCAACAAATCTCTTTGGGATACCAACCTCTTCCTCTAACTCACGAAGAGCAGCTGTCACGGGCTCCTCATTCATATGCGCATCAATTTTGCCGCCGGGAAAACTGTAGAAGAACTACTACGAAAATGAAGTCTCGTCTACCTAACTTCTCCGGGATGAAGCCGTAGATGCATTGAACGTTTGGTGTAAAGGATGGCAGGTCTCCCATCATAATAAATAAGAGGAATCAGTATGGCCGAATCATGACAAATTTGGGGCTTCGGCCGCAGTGGAGTCACCTTCTTTAGGAGGCGCACACAACGCTGTCGATTCGCTGAGTCAAAAAGCTGCACAAAATTGGACATGAGGGTCTGTGTATGGGAAGAAACAAAGTGCCATTGGCGTGTTACTTAGTAATACGGACGACTTCTGTCGGCATACTATTCATTGACGCAACCAAAATGAGTAAACTGTGAAAACAAAACAAGTCGAAAACTGGAAAGGGTATTTTGCTACTCTAAGCTGTTTACGACCTAGACCAAATCACGTCCTCGATTTCGCCGACACGTCGATATTTGAAAAGGCTAAAACAAGATCATCTGTGAGTGACGGCTGCGCAAGAATTCGACAACGGATCGATCAAGAGATCTTTCTAAGCCATAGGCAGTACAGGCCCGTGCCCTGAACGGACGCCAAGGTAGACATAGCTAGTCACAATGACGTAAGGGTGGACTGATTGGCTTGCTTCCCAACTAACTTCTTCCTCATCGAATCAAGAAACCTTTGACTTTCTCGGCCTTATAATCCAGAAAAGGCAGAACCGGTAGGCCAAATCGCCGAATAAAACTTCCTAACGCTGCAAGAACGAAAATCTCTCGTGTCTTCCCCCACAGAACAAGAGCCGCAAAGCTTAACTTTACTCAAGGAGAACAGAAAGATATCGACCACCTTCAAAAAGATGAAAGCACTGCGATCTCACCTGCTTATAAAAGTGGCGTAAGGGTCATCTTGAAGAGGAAGGGCACGATTGAACAGTTGATCGGCTGCAGCGATCTGGTTTCTGCCTAAAGGAGAAATAGTTCTTGTACACAAAAATGAACAAACTACAGAGGAGCTCCAAGACTTACGTAAACAAAGCTAATACGAAAACTGGACCAAGAGTGTATCCATTTATTTTAGCCGATCATGTCTTATCTTCACAAGTAATGTCTGCACATGAAACAGGAGCCGATAATTAAGGGAAAAAGTGTGAACTCATAGGCACATTCTGTCAAGCAATAAGTATTAAATTCGCACTGATAGCGATGTGGAGATGTCTGGCTTAGGGCGTATGGCAGAACAAAAATTGTTGCTCTGGTCTTCCTGTCTTCGCATCTTTATAGTTTCAGGATTATGTGCACTAGGCCAAAAGTGAGAGGCCATTCCGGGTTCCACAATCAAATCAGACTGGCGCATTTCGTAACCCATATTAAGTATGAGATACAAAAAGTTCAGAACAAAAGTAGTCCCGAAATTTATGGTGAAGGAGGCAGTGAAGTTCCTTTATGTGGTGACATTGTTAAAAAGTGGCAACTATTCGGTGTATGATGCAGCCTGTTCAATAAGCAAAATGAAAATTTAAAACCCACTGCAGGGCGCAGCCCTTCCCTAACATCTGTCCACTGATATGGCGATTGAGGTCCAAGTAGAAGAAGGAAAAACACAACGGCGATTGCGAAAGATGTCTCTCTTCTTAAGTATTCAAGATCGTCTTCATAAATAACCAAAAACAATGGCAAGCATGCGAAAAAAAACCAGCGCCTGTGGCAGTCTAACGCTGTAATACTTGACAGCGTCCTACGCCAATCATGTACTCCGGGTGTCTCAGTGCTGGCAACCTGGTCTGCTGTGACCACATGATCAAACCAAAGCACTGATAATAAGGACTCTACCGAAATACTTCACACAGCACCCATGATAACTAACAAAGTTTACAGAAATTCGACTTCCAGAAGACGGATATTTATCCGCCTACCGTGGTAGACACCTTGACCGCCGACAAATAGAAGGACCGAGAAACGAGTTCAAACATCGCCCTTCAGTAGAGCAAGTCGAGTATTAAGCTAAAATATCCCTTTGTCAACCACTTTACGAACAAACTGTTACAAACATGCAGACTAGCACGAAGCACTTCCTACTAAAGCCAATCAAATCATGATTGGCACTTAAGCACCCAGGCACGTTTTCTGTTTTGACCAACACACACACATCAATTTGTACAACTGTTCCACCGACATAAATACAACGAACAGTGAGTAAACAAGCCCATCCGAAGTACTCAAATGCCTCATGTACTTCAGGTTACGTCTTATGCCCAAAGCGAAGGCCGGAGACAGAAGGGAACTCAGAATTAATGAGAAAGCAGACGGTCTTCACATAACTCGAAAAACGGTCCTTAGAAAACGAGGGGGTAGCCTTTACAAGAAAAGCCGGTTAAAAGACAGCTCAAATGATCTGGTTCAGTTATGATTCCTCAGAAATCAAAAAATATATTTAGAAAGATTTAAATCTCCAAATTCTGGTGCATGCTGTCTATACCCAGTAGCAGTAGAAATAACTCAATTTATGATATCATCCATGTGGGCCACTAAATGAGCATACTTTAATGCTTGCAGCTCGGCATATTTTGGGGAATACCATCAGTAATAGGTCTTATTTAAGCCAGTAACAGATTCTGATGCTAGTATACATTAATCCTGAATCACGTATGTGGCTAAAATTGCCAAGTTTTAAACAAAAGAGCAAGGGAGACGCTTGAATACACTTAAGCGATTGCTAAGAGCTAAAAGCCTCAACAGCTGACCAAAAAATTTCACATTATACGATGGCAGCGGCCGAACTCGATGACTTGCACTCGGTATGACAATCGGCGTACAGATCTGTCACTGGGTTTGGAATCCTAGTAAACATACATTCATCATGTCCGGACTTCCTAGTAGGATTAAAAGATAAGCACAGCTCAACACACGTTGAGGTTTAGTGTCTATGAAGAGGAAGGTTACCGCGGAGGCAAACAGGATTTTAGCACACAAAGACCAATACATGGAAATAGTTACATGTTTATGCAAACATACTACGAGGATGGGTGTAGTTCAAACTGACCAAACAACAGCTGTAGGGTTATATGAGTTATGAGAGATTGCTGCGCGTCTTAAGGTGGGTATTGAAACACACGTGCGGTATAAATCGATTCAAACGAGTAATCCGAAGAAGCGTGCTCCCGCGTTCCAAAAAACATTCAGGTAAGTTGGTTTATTTTATTTGCATTTTCTTCAGCGTGATCCGATTTAGCACCCATCAGGATGAGCGGGCTCTTTCAAAAGTGCCCAACACAATGAGCTCAAACATGCCGACGGACAGGTTTGGCTGTCTTCAGGAGCCTCCTGTCATCTTGCAAATGACACAGCTGGAGGCGTGGCAACTACGTACTACGGACGAACTTCCTACTACCATATTCTCCGCGCACAGGCACACCTCTTCATCAACAGACCGTAAGATTAAACATCCATAAAATTTACGTCGCATTAACACTCGAGAGCAACTAACACCCAATACTGCCCAGAAATGCTGTTTTTCCGCACAAGTAATCAAAATCCAAATTGCTCGGGTCGACTGAACTGTATATCAAGATTTCACGGAAAACGGACAATTTGGTAGCTGCATAAACCAATTGACTTAAATCAAGGTTTACTGCGATTGTAAAGCTGATTCTGCCATGTACGGAAAACCTTCAAATTAGCAGATAGACGACAAACAGTAAAGGTGGAAAACGAGAAAAAGCATGAGAAAACAGAGCGATCCTTCGTCGTAACACACGCAAAAATAGCCACGAGAGCACATAAGCAGATGTTAATTTTTGCCTTTTGTGCCCGCATTTCAGCCTGGAAAAACACGCATTGATAATCAAATGACAAGCATCAGCGCTAATTCTGACTCACATGCACCTAACCACCTTATTGTTTCCTTCTACAATCAAATCAACAACAAGCAATATGGAAAAGGGTAAAAATAGGGATTCGGCCATTTGAGAAAAGGCTTCAACAAACGAAAAAACCGTCGCGGCTAAAAAATCACGCAACAAAGAAGTAAAAATACTTAGACCGCAACAAGCACTAAATGCCTGCGGTATGTGTAGACGTCCAACTTGAACAAAGCAGATTTCCATACGTTGTCGAGAAAGACCGGATAAAATGAACCAAATATACGCACATACGGACACAGGGATAGCAAAATCGTGTGTCCGCAAATTCCGAAACTACCCAGTCAAGTCACCAAATTAGATATGACTAAACTCCCCACGATGACTGTGACAGTTCGACTGAAACCCAGGATGTCTTCGTGTGCTCTACACAGAATGGGTGCAGGAGCGGCGACACGCGCGAAAATCCGCCCATACTAACAGTAGAATTGCGATAAATCTACCGATAACTCTTCTCCTCCATCTCCTGGGCGCGATGTCAAGAAACAGCCAAGAAAGCCGGATGTAGAAAGTGCTGCAGGCTGCTGGCGCGCCTAGAGCCGCCCCTAAATATGCCGCCACGCCCGCCTCACATCCCCCTGCGTGGAAGTGTTTTAGACGCCATATTAAGCAGTGACAATTGCAGCCTGATCCTCAGACCAGCAGTCAACCACTCCGCATAAAAGCATACTGTGCCAACGGCTAGGTCTCTTTTGTCCCGTAAAGTTTGCAAATTTTCAAGCCATGAGTTTTGGCGCACCGTAATAGCTTCAAGCGCGTCAGGTTGTTTAAAGCGAGGAATGTGCACTGAATCACCGACCTCATTCTCTATCTCCATTCCAGGAGCTCAACCATTGTTCGAGCCGGTCAGTAGTCTGGTGCGGAGGCTGAAGGCAGTGGCTTGCTGAGCTAGAGAGCTCGTCGGAGTGCGCCACATGAAGGTCGTACTCCCCTCCCCCTTCCAAAATATACATAGGGATTTGAAACAAAAGGGGGACAGAACTCTCCAGTCTCACTTGCTGAGGATTAACCACGCGGAGAAAGGGGCCGAAAAACTCACAGATGCGAGTTCGATCGTCGTGATTTAGGATGTCCACCGTCAGCTCGAGAACACGATGAGAAAAATCAGGGTGACTTGTGTGCAAATTAGTTTGTGACAGTAGTTGAATTTCACCGCATCCATCGCACTTCCACTCCCCACCCATGCCTGGTGTCAAGACTTAGTCAAGAGTAACAGGGATAGGAGAGGCCGCAGGTCTTTAATTTAATTTAATTTATCAAATGCCAGTTTACAGGCATTGTCAAGGGAAGCGATTAAACACAAATCCGACCAGCAGTGAAAAAAAAAACTTCTGAAGAATAAAAATATAGTTGATGGTGGTTTTTGTGGTTTGGAGGGCTCAGGAGAAAAAACTGCCGGCGGTGGTAGAATATCGACCGTCAAGAAGGGGGGAGGTTGCACGGTATCGGAGATTATCGGACGTCAAATTCCTTTCATGAAGTTGGGGATAGTCAAAGTAGAGGCGTTGAGGAACAGCTGGTGAGACCGGCCATAGTGTTCAGAGACCACAAACGCCATCGCTACGGTACAGTCGATCAGTAGATTCAGCACCAAAATGTTGTGGGAGCTTTTCTGAATGCAAAAATCGAGTAATAGTTCTCTTAAATAAAGGATAATTTTGCAGAGTTTTCACACTCATTGGTATTTTATTCCAAATAGCATTTGCATTTACAGAATAGAACCGACGATATTTAACAGCACGTGCCACAGGCAGAAATAAGAAGACCTCACGGTGACTGTTACGTCGTGGGTGGATATGATGTCCTAAAGAAGTGAGTGGGTTAAATGTGTGATTATATAAGAGTTTAAATAGCAAAAATAGTCCCTTTTGTAATCTACGGAACCATAAAGGATCGAGGCCTGTAAGCCGGCAACGTTCTTGGTAAGACAAATGTCGGTGTTCTGGGGTTAAAAATCTCTTGGTAAAAAAGTGTTGAACGGATTCTATTTTCTTCCGCTCAGTAGCACGCATGAGGCTAAATGAAAACGAACAGTATTCCAGGCCAAGTCTAACGTACGTGTTGTAAAGGCGCATTCTAATGTCCCTAGTTTTGAAATTTCGGAGGATAAACCCGGTCGTTTTGCGTGCTTTGGAGACTATCAAGGCACAGTGCTCCGAGAGAGATTGAGACTCTTGGAGTAGGATATGCCCAGATCCTTAGTCACCCTGGGCACATTTATTGCGTGACCTTCAATACTTAGTTGAGGTTGGTGGTCGTCGCCAACCACCATGACTGAGCTCGGTGTAAACCCGCACCTGGGCATATCGTTACGCGCCCTAATACGCAAAAAACTTGACCAGAATTTTCAACAACCAAAGTAGAGGACGCAGGAATCCCAATTGGTGCTGCATGAAACAGCAAATAGGCCTTTAACTACACCCCGAATGTTGGCATTTTTGATGGGTGCGCATCTATGTGGTGCCTTTAGTTCGGACGTCGTAGACTGCCCTGATGGAGGTGGAGGAAATTATCGTTTCACTGTTATCTCCGTATCCTCGTATTTCCTCGGACTTGTGATTCATTCAGGCGTCTTGCACCTCATACAGTTACAGGTGCACCAGACGGTGACATTTTAAGAAGGCTGCCCTGCTTACGCCGGTTCTTCGATTAACGTAGACTTTTTGCAGCCTATTCTTCTCGGCATGCAATTTACGAGTGTCTTCTTCCATGTCATTGATCCAATCCTGACGTTGACTGCATGGACGACCGGAGATTTCAAGCCAGTAAAGTAGCGCCACCGTGTCTCTAGGCTGGCAATATCGTCCGGAGTCTGCAGTTATCCATGCCTTGAGCGAGTTGACTGCTGATGCTAAGAAGGTGAGTAGGCATATCCAGCATAGCCTAATTTTACAAACCTGATGCATTTGCATGCACTTCGAAAATTTCCCAGAGCAGGCCGTGCCTCGGCCTCTGACCGCCACTAAGTATCTGTACGGAATACGCGTCTTCTATTGGCATCTTCCCATTTCTCACCTTAAACGGAATGGGGCCGTGATAATTATGATGTCCTGGGTACATTCACAAATAAGAGCCTAAAATAATACGGCCTAACTGACTACTCTTGATATGTCAAATCAAAACTCTGCTCCTAATAGAATAGGTTCATTATTAAAGCGCTCCTTTTGGCACTGTTAGTCTTCTTTGAACTCAGGAAAAAACCAAAAACAAACTCATCGCAATGCGCTTTATGAATTCATTGGTGCTCTGGTGTCCGAAGCTCAATAACCAGGCAAATTTTCGGTATCAGGCGAGGACGCGTGTGCCTCGAGCTCAGCTTGCTCTCTCCTCACCTTCATTATCCAGCGAGTGGCTAGGTTATGTATGTGAAGTAATATTATTTTAGTAAGCTTAACATATGGTATCTCTCAAGTGGGGCTGCGCAACCAAACCTCACCTCTTGCCATTCGCTGATGCATGAGCAGTTAAGTCCACAAATTTCTCCCGGTTTCGACGACGTAAATGTAACTACGTCCCTTCACTTTTTCCTGTAGGCTATAGTAAAATTATCTTTGCATAACAGGTGACCACTAAGTTGAAACAAATGGTAACAATATGTAGTCTGTTGTCGCCTGGTCAGACTTACTTCGATTAAGTTGTCATTCTAGAAACCTCATTTTTGTGATGGGGAGGTTGTGGGAAAATCTGGTAAAAGTAACGATGTTTAGACAGCCCTCAGGTGTGGAGCAGGGTTGTTTGATTTTCTACTTTGCCAACCCGGATACTCGCATGCGCCAAAGAGACCACATTGTTTTATGCGCTAACTGAATTCAGTGAAACAAGAATATTATAGTCTGTATGGTTAATGGAATTCCATCTTTGCTGATGCAGGTGATCAGTTTTCCAATATCTTTCGTCTGGAAAAGTATGCTTCATCGAACATCAATCAACATGTACTTATTGCTGCACTGCATGTCAGCCACAATGTCGAGGACACAATTCCAGAACACTTTTCAGTAGGAAGAAAATGCTGACATTAATTTTTCCTTTTTAGATTTCTGAGAACCTCTTATTTATATTTTCTGAGGAAACAATTTGTATCGCGTAGCATAAACAACGATGCTACCTGATGGTGTTTTGACCACCTAATGCTTTCTACTGTGCCTAGCACAGATTCCAGAGGGACGAATTATTTTACAGGTGTAATGAACAAAGTCTCAAAATAGCTCTCTTGTTGCGGTCTCCGTACTGCCTGCAACGTGTATTCTGACCCCAGTTTGACGTAATTTCCGGCTTGTTTATTGTTGTCATCGGCGCAGCACAGCGGGCGCGAACGATGATCGTCCTCTGTTTCCCTTTTCACTGGCAGCCTTGATGAAATTAAACACAGACTTCTTAACTTCTGGTCATTCTACTGTTCTGAAGATTTACCTTCTTGGACTAGAATTTTTCGCGACAACCTTGTAGGTGTCGCTCTTGGCTACCAGCTGGGAATCCAGGTAGTCATTCCGCTTATTGTGGGAATTTCCCTCAAAAGGGTTCAGGATTCATAAGTCAGGAAAAAGAGTCCGACTGTCTTAAGAACGTTGCAATATCGACATATGTAGCATTAACATTGGTACCACGAAATCTAATAGCGGCAAATGAAATTTCATGCAGAGCTCAAGATCTTCATGTTGAGGGTTAGTTTGAGTCTCCAGAACAGGTTAAATCTTCCCCGTCTTTAGTTCAGAATACTCCCATCAGTGTTTCTGGTGGTTTTCACAAACAACGTTTGTAACCTTCCCGAGCTTAAGCATTCACTTGTTAAGTAAAGGTAGTAGTAAATGGGCTTGTAAATCGTGTAACTCTTCTTATGCAAAGTTCAACGATTAGGTACATTCGGCGATGGACACCGTAGTCTGTCACGTGGCGCAGCGCGTACAACCCGGCACGATTTTGGTTCGGAATAGTTGTGCTCATTTTTATTATCGGGTTTCGGCCTGTAGTTTTTGCTTGGCATTCGAGCCTGCGATTGGGATATAGCTTGCCAAATCTCGCCTGAGCTCGAAACTAGCATTTATGGATACTAACGAGCGAAATTTGCTTCCAAAATTGGCTGAACTCCGAATCCGTGCCTGCGACCTCCAGCCAGAAGTTATCTGAACAAAAAGCGCATGATTGGCCGAACAGGTTGAAGATAGCGAGCTTATGGTGCCTGGATTTCAACTGTTCTGCAGACCAGGGAAAACAGGGGGGTGGAGGCAGAACGGTATTTATTAAGAATGGCTTGGACGCTTCGGAAAAAACTACTAGGCTGACTTGCAGTTCGGAAATGTTATGGCTGACCATAAGAGCGTCGGGTCCTACAAACTTCGATATTGTGACAGTATGTCATCTCCCGAGAAATGGCGCTGACTCCCAAATACTGAATGATCTGAAATTATTTTCATCGCGGCCGAATACTCTCATGGTCGGGGATTTTAATGCATCTCACATCGACTGGAGCTCGGCCTCCCCGACTGCTCTGAAAAAGCATTCGACCAGCGGCTACTGCGTACCACCGGCAATCTACTTCCCATCCAACACGTAGTGTTTCCGACGAGAGTTCGTTAGGGCTAGCTAGTGAACTGTCTTGACCTTGTGTTTACTAAGTCGTCTGATAACATCGACGTTGTGAATTGCCTCCCCCATCAGGTCTAAGTGACTATGTAGTTCTCGTGTGAGAATACACCTTATTCTGATCAGAAGAAGAAGCAATCGCTGGAACAAAGGCTTTATTCGCCTGACGTTTCGGATTCTCACTTGAATCCATCATCAGAGACAGTGTCAGGAAAGGGTGACTCGTGCACAGTGCTGAGGCATAGGCTGGCCAAGGTAATTGACCACTCGGGGAGCGCGCAAGCCGGTGAGCCAGATGACCGAACAATCATCACGCCAGCATCTAACACGGGTGATGACATTTCGGCGATTAACAATCATGCCGGCCATCAAGCAATTATCGCACCAGCGGGCAGCCATCCCTGACGAAGGAGAGCGCGGTTAATTGTTATAGGTATGCGGTAGCATAGCGACTGCATCCTGTAAATACTGCGATTTCCTGTGCACGAGTCACCCTTTTCTGCCACTGTCTCTGATGATGGATTCAAGTGAGAATCCGAATCGTCAGGCGAATAAAGCCCTTCTTCCAGCGATCGCTTCTTTTTCTGATCAACTAGTTCCTGGA